ATATATAAATATACATTACTCGTATAAAATATGTGTGTTTTTGTGTGTGTGTCTCTTTCTCATTTCTGGAAATTCGACACGACTAATCGAGAAAGTCGCAGTTCTTTATATCTATTCGTTTTTGTTCCTCACTCTCTCTTTTTGCAGTGAATGAGTGAATGTTTGACATTGAAGAGTATCTTCCCATGTCGCCTGAGCAATGTCACATGATGTCCCATGTGACACAACTACACTTAATTGTGAACACACATATACAAACACACACCCGCATACATACGTGCCGCATGCACATACGCAACACACATACTACACACACACACACACATACAAACACCTTTGCACACACACACACACACACACACACACACACATACCCGTCTACCTCTCCACCTCCGTCTCCATACCTTTCCTGCTGCCCTCCTTTTGTCGAAGCCAATGCCCTTTGGCTCATTCTTACCCCATGCCCCCTATGCCCCCACCTTATACCTCAGCCCCCCTTCGCATTTGCTATACCCCTCCCCTACCCGACGCCTCCTTCGCCATGCCCCCTCCCTCCCCTGCTCCAGAACCTTTAACCTATTTCTGCACGTCTAATAAATCCTCTTTTATGAGCGTCGATCAAACCTTGGGAGAGTATTGCAGGCTCCGAGGAGGTCGAGGAACCGTTGTTTCCTCGTCATGCTTTTGTGAGGTGATGGTGAGAGTGATGAAAATGGTGAAAGAGGCGGGTGGGGATAATGTTATTAATGCCTTCCTGCTGATAATGACAATGGTAGTGGTAATTAGGGTGATGATGATGACGAGGGATTGGGATATATGGTGATTATATGATATGGCAGGCAATAATGGTGACGTCAATGAGCTCTTGCTGATGATAATGATGATGGTGATAACGAGGGATATGGTGACGCTGATTCAGAGTCGTTTCATCTGGGTTTCGTGATAAGCGAGATGAGATGGAGAAAGGATAGCGTGAGCAGATTATGTAGTGGTCCAGCTTTCTTTCGTTTGTTTGTTTGCTTTTTTGTTTATGATTGTTTTTGTTCATGCTGATGATAATCTTTTTCATTAATAACAGTTTCTCATTTTTTTTTTTTTGGGGGGGGGGAGGTAAATAATATGTGATATACTCGTCATCATGTGGCGTATCATAATCAGCATAGTATGCTAACACTTATTCTTAGCACCAGAACCATTAAGACAATGACCTGTTATACTCTCATCTTCATCATCTATGTTATTAGAATATTAATAATATCAAAACTATGCTCTAATCTAATCTTCTGGAAGGAAGGAATAATTTCTCAACACAGCGTATGATTGAATACACAGTTGTATGATTCTGGTAATCGAACCAGTTACTTATCATATCTCCGCTTTTGATGAAGATAATGATAGTAACAATAATAACAGTGATGATCACAGAAATGGCGATGATGAGAATGATACTGATAATACTATTAATGATAATAAGAAATAACGATAATAGGAATGATAATAATGACAATAATGATAATGTATGATAACAATAGTGATGATAATAATAATGATGATAATAATAATAAATTGTATTAAAATGATGAATAATGAAAATGATGATAATAATTTAATTAACAACAGCAATAATGGTAATAATAGCAATAGTAATAATGATAATGGTGATAATATTAACAATGGAAACAGTAAAGCTAATGGTAATAATAATAATGATATCAATAATGATAATGATAATGGTAGTAATGCTATTGATAATAATAATAGTAATAATAGCAATCATAATAAGGATGATAGTAATGATGATAACAATAATTCTAATAATAATAATAGTAATATCAATGATAATGATAATGATGATAATAATAATGATAATAAAGATTATGATAATAATAAGGACAATGATAATATTGATAATCATAATGGTAATAACGATGGTAGGCTAATGATAATAATGATGGCAATGATAATAGAATTCCAGGCCTGATGATTTTATTAGTAAAATGTAATACAAACGATACAAAACAGAAAACACAGATCTTTGCAATAAACTTTGCAATTACACAGTGGTATCAAGAAATTATTTTACAAATCAAAATCATAAAAGTGCGCACTGTCTACTATACTAAAATACTGCATACATTATTCTTACTTGATACCAGCAAAAGTGGGTCAAATCATAATTAGAAAAGACTATATATATTTCTATCACAGGCTAATTAAACATAATTCGGCGAGAACATAAAACTGTATAGCCCAAAACTTTTTTTTCTGTACTTTGTTTATATATATTTTTTATGTTTTATTCTCATTGCAGTTTCATACACATATAGTATTACTATTCGTTTCCATTGTACAGGGTCTCAAAATTTTACGTAAACCAATATCATTAACTATAAACTCAATTCGGCATTTTCTTTCGTAAAATTCAAAAATAAATATATTTATTAGGGGAACGGGGTCTTCAACCAAGTAGGCATAACGTGTTTTCTTGTCTTTCTTTTAGCCAGTCATCATTTCCATGAACTCTGGAAAGGAGAAATTAATTAGATTATGATAAAATTGTTGTTAGATTTTTACTAAAAATGACCTAAGACAGAAAATTATTTTTGAAGAAAAGAACATTACGTATGAACTAACATTTCTGGAAATGTATGTCATTCTGTTCTTACTCAGAATTCTAAATGGATAATGGTAATATGTTGATAACAGTAAGCAATGATGATAATGATATCTCTGATTGATAATGATGATGTTTCTAGTTGATAATCATAATGACAATTAATAAATGATCAAATATAATCTCAGTACGTTAATAATGACAGCAACAAAAACACAAGATAAAACATTAATGATAATAATAGTAACTAACGCATAATCAGGCATATGAGAATCATAAATCCGACACACTGGCACTGCTTGGCACTCCTAGCCCCGCCTGGCACTCCTAGCCCCGCCTGGCACTCCTAGCCGCCTGGCACTCCTAGCCCCGCCTGGCACTCCTAGCCCCGCCTGGCACTCCTAGCCCCGCTTGGCACTCCTAGCCCCGCCTGGCACTCCTGGCCCCGCCTGGCACTCCTACCCCGCCTGGCACTCCTAGCCCCGCCTGGCACTCCTAGCCCCGCCTGGCACTCCTAGCCCCGCCTGGCACTCCTAGCCCCGCCTGGCACTCCTAGCCCCGCCTGGCACTCCTAGCCCCGCCTGGCACTCCTAGCCCCGCCTGGCACTCCTAGCCCCGCCTGGCACTCCTAGCCCCGCCTGGCACTCCTAGCCCGCCTGGCACTCCTAGCCCCGCCTGGCACTCCTAGCCCGCCTGGCACTCCTAGCCCCGCCTGGCACTCCTAGCCCCGCCTGGCACTCCTAGCCCCGCCTGGCACTCCTAGCCCCGCCTGGCACTCCTAGCCCCGCCTGGCACTCCTAGCCCCGCCTGGCACTCCTAGCCCGCCTAGAACTCCTAGCCCCGCCTGGCACTCCTAGCCCCGCCTGGCACTCCTAGCCCCGCCTGGCACTCCTAGCCCCGCCTGGCACTCCTAGCCCCGCCTGGCACTCCTAGCCCCGCCTGGCACTCCTAGCCCCGCCTGGCACTCAAGCCCCGCCTGGCACTCCTAGCCCCGCCTGGCACTCCTAGCCCCGCCTGGCACTCCTAGCCCGCCTGGCACTCCTAGCCCCGCCTGGCACTCCTAGCCCCGCCTGGCACTCACCGTCGAAGTCCACCGTGCCAGAGCCGTCCTCGTCAATCTCGTCGATGATGCCGTCCAGGTCCTCGTTGCTCAGCTTGTTGTCGAGTTCCTTCAAAATCTCCTTGAGAGTGGCGGTGTTATAGCCGTCGCCTGCGATGGAGGGGGAGCGGTAATGAGTGGGCTGCGGATGGGTGGGGTTGTGGGCAGGTTGTAGGTGGGTTTTGAGGGGGTTGTAGGTGGGTTTTGAGGGGGTTGTGGGCAGGTTGTAGGTGGGTTGAGGGGGTTGTGGGCAGGTTGTAGGTGGGTTTTCAGGGGGTTGTGGGCAGGTTGTAGGTGGGTTTTGAGGGGATTGTGGGCAGGTTGTAGGTGGGTTTTTGAGGGGGTTGTGGGCAGGTTGTAGGTGGGTTTTGAGGGGGTTGTGGGCAGGTTGTAGGTGGGTTTTGAGGGGGTTGTGGGCAGGTTGTAGGTGGGTTTTGAGGGGTTGTGGCAGGTTGTAGGTGGGTTTTGAGGGGGTTGTGGGCAGGTGTAGGTGGGTTTTTGAGGGGGTTGTGGGCAGGTTGTAGGTGGGTTTTGAGGGGGTTGTGGGCCAGGTTGTAGGTGGGTTTTGAGGGGTTGTGGGCAGGTTGTAGGTGGGTTTTGAGGGGGTTGTGGGCAGGTTGTAGGGTGGGTTTTGAGGGGGTTGTGGGCAGGTTGTAGGTGGGTTTTGAGGGGTTGTGGGCAGGTTGTAGGTGGGTTTTGAGGGGGTTGTGGGCAGGTTGTAGGTGGGTTTTGAGGGGGTTGTGGGCAGGTTGTAGGTGGGTTTTGAGGGGGTTGTGGGCAGGTTGTAGGTGGGTTTTGAGGGGGTTGTGGCAGAGTTGTAGTTGGGTTTAGAGTTGGTTGTAGATGATTTAAACATGGGTTGTGAGTGAGTTGTAGATGGATGACGTGTGGGTTATGGGTGAGATATGATCGGGGCGTCGAAAGGTTGTAGATGAGTTGTGGTTGGGATGTGGGTGAGTTATATGCTGGTTGTGGAGAGTTTTGCTGTGAGTGAGAAAAGTGAGAGAGCGACTACGCTAAGAGGAAAGAGTGTGTGTGTGTGTCTGTGTGTTGTGTGTGTCTGTGCTTACTCCAATGAAGCTATCATCAACAGCAGCGGAATTAACTC